GGGCACCCAGTCCTGGAAGAAACAGAGCCCCTCTTCTAATCAAAAGGGCCCTCTGTTCCTGCCTCTTCTCCATGCTCCTTACAACTCCCTCTTGCCCAGGGTGTGAGCACCTCAAGCTGACATATCACTATTCTCTTTACTCCCCCAATCCCCCCGGGGAAGGCAACATGGGGCAAAGGATCCTCACTCCCCCTGGAGTGCTGAGACCCACAGAGACCCAGTGATGCAGGTCCCAGAGGGAGCTGGTGCTAGGGCAAGGTACTAAACCCCCTAAAGCCATAGCTTTGAGCCCTTTCTTCAGGGCTTAAAATGGCACCTGGTTTCTTATACATGATCCCTATCCCAGAGACCTACTTCTGCCTCAACAGTGCCTTTCCTGCTGTGTCAGTGTGTGAGCAGAATCCTCATTTCTACCCCACCCCCCTTTTAGTCTGAACCCAGTTCGTTCCTCTCCCCCAGGCTTTGGGGCTGCCCTAGGCCCTGGGTGCTGCCTAGGGTCTGCCTCCTGCAGGGGGTTAGGCTCATGGTGGGGGAATTAACTGGAGGGGAGGGCAGGCTGGGGGCAAGGGCAGGGGCTGCTTTATTGGTCCTAAAGTGCAGCTTCCCCACTTTCTGCTGTTTGCCTCAACCTCCTGTATCTCCCCTGCCCCTGACTCTGCATTTATCCAGGGAACAATTGTTTCCCTCTTTCTGCTGTGCCCTTCCTGTCCCCTGTCCCCACCACCCCACAGAGATGCAGCCATGGCAGAGGCACCAGCTCAGGTGCTTTTAGGCAAGAGGCTCCTTCAGCCCTGCCTTTCTGCTCACCCCAGCCCAGGAGAGACCTGGAGGACCCTGCACAGCCCTCCGCTGGATCTGCAGGCCTCCCTCAGCCCCTGTGGTGTAATTTTCCCTTCCCTGAAGTGCAATGGAGAGCTCCAGCTCATCACAGCTCAGGCCTGCAGTCCCTTGTGCAGCAAGCCACACCAGTGCATTCCTAAGGGGAATCATCTCTATAGCTCAGACCCCTGAAACTGGGCTTGGTACTGGAGGGAGGAAAGGCATTTACATTGTCACCTGGGCCTGATTTGGAAGTATCCTCCCCTTTCCACTCCTCTCTCTCTGCTCCCACTGAAGTCGGGGTGGGGGGAATGTGGTTATTCTCAGGTCTGGTCATCTCAGGTTGGCTGGGGGACTCCCCAGGTGGCATCCTGCTATCCTTGCTAGCCTTCCCCAGGGTCTGTGTTAACTCCTCATGCCAAGGATGCAGCTGACCAGCAGCTGCTGGGTGGACCACCTCCATGGTCTGAGGCTGCCCCCACAACCCTTGTGAGCCCCCCACCCCATCTTGCCCATGCCCAGCAGAGCTGCCCCTTGAGGCTCTTATCTGGCTTGATTGTGAGGGGCTGCAGGACTGTGGGGGGGGAAACACCCCTGAGCTCCAGGGGCTCACTCTTCCTGAGGAAGGAACCAGTACCCTGGCTTTACCCATGGCAGTTTTGGGTGTTAGGTCTGTGTTGAGTCAGGGTTGAGGGTAGCTTTATGCAAAGTGTAAATTATGGCTGTATGAGGTGGTTAAGACAGGGAGGTCCTGCCTCAGGCAGGGGGTGGGTCTAGATGACCTCTTGGGGGTCCCTTCCAGCCCTGCTTCTTTGTGACCAGCCGGGTTTGAGCAGAGGCAAAGCATCTAAGCGGGCTCTGCCTGATTCCCCCCCAGTGCGGGGCGGGGGGGTCTCCCGGGCTGGCTCCGGGGAGCTGGTGCAAAGGGCAGGCCGTGGCTGGCCCCATGAGGCGGGCGAAGGAGCGGGGTTAGGGGCGGGGGGCATGGCTCCTGAGGGACCTGGACTCGTGCAGCCTGCCGAAGAGAAGCCTGAGAGGCGACGGCATGGCAGCCCGGCCCCAGCGACCTGAAGGGCGGTTCCCGAGAGGCTGGAGCGAGCCTTGTCAGCCCCGGCAGATGACAGAATTGGAGCAATGGTCTCAAGTTGCAGCAGGGGAGGCTGAGGTTAGCTATCGAGGAGGGAAAACCTCGCTGAGGAGGCGGGCAGGAAAGCGCTGGAACAGGCTGCCCGGAGACGTGGCTGACCGTTACGCCCCGGCGGGGACGCTGGCGCGGGGCTGGGCCGGGCTGGCT